GCCCACACCCCCTCGCCCGCAGTTCGGCCGCACCGAAGTCATCGACAACACCCTGAACCCCGACTTCGTGCGCAAGTTCGTGCTGGACTACTACTTCGAGGAGAAGCAGAACCTGCGCTTCGACGTGTGAGCGCAGCCGGCCCCGGCCCCCCCGCCCCGCCCCGCCAGCCGCTGCCTCGCCGCTCTCCTCGCGCAGCCCCCGCTGCTGGCGGGGTGCAGGCCACGGACAGCTGATGTCCCGGGGCCGTCGGGGGGGCCAGGTGCTCAGAGGGGTGGACGGGGCAATGTAGCCGCCGTCCTCTGGCCCTGGGGGCTGGGCGCCGCAAGCCCATGGGCTCCGGGGCGCAAAGGAAGGGGGCACAGCCTGTGCCTGCCTAGTCCCACTGCGGCATTCACGGCCTTCCTCTCCCCTCCCAAGCTACAACGTGGACTCCAGGAGCTGCAACATCTATAAACACGTGAGTGCAGCCAGGTCGCAGCTCACCTTGCAGGGGAGGGGCCGCCCCGGCCCAGGGCTTGCCTGCCGGGGCGAGCCTGGCGGTGGGCTGAGCGCTGCTTGCTGCACGGGCTGCCCCAGAGCGGGGCCGCGGCTGCTCCCTTGGCTCTGCCTGCCAGAGCCGGCGCGGGGTCCTGCCGTCACTGAGGAGTCTGTCCTGGGGGCCGTGGGGGGAGCCCGGCCGCCCCACGGCCCGGCTCAAACCCGCTCTGTCTCTCCGCCGCCTGGCGCCGGGCCCCACAGAAGGTACGTGCCGGCTGCGGGCAGGCGGGCGGCCCAGGGGAACAGCCGGGCCCCGGCTCGGAGTGCCCCGGCTCTGCCGGGGAGGGCGGGGGCGGCGGTGCTCAGCCCGAGCCGTGTCCGGCGCAGGACTTCCTGGGACAGGCCTTCGTGGCGCTGGGCGAAGTCATCGGGTCCCGCAGAGGCCGCCTGGAGAAGGCGCTGACGTGAGTGGCGGGGCCGGGAGCCCGGGGCAGCCGCGCCTCGGCCTGTCCTTGGCCCGCGGCCGACAAGACCTTCCTCTCCCTGCCCAGGGGGGTGCCGGGCAAGAAGTGCGGGACCATCGTGGTGCTGGCCGAGGAGCTGAGTAACTGCCGGGTGAGCGTGAATGCCCGCGGCCCCATGCTGCCCTGCACAGCCCCACCGTGGCCCGGCGGAGGGCAGGGCCTGGGGAGGCTCAGGCGTGCCGGGGCGAGGTGAGCACGGACTGCCCCGGCGCTGACTGGCCCCTGCCCACAGGACGTGGTCACCATGCAGCTGTGCGCCAACAAGCTGGACAAGAAGGATTTCTTCGGGAAGTCGGACCCCTTCCTTGTCTTCTACCGCAGCAATGAGGATGGCACGTAGGTGGGGCGCGGCCGGGCTGGAGCGGGGGTCCCCGCGCAGCCGCTCGCAGCCCGCCCCTCTGCTGCTCCTACAGGTTCACCATCTGCCACAAGACGGAGGTGGTGAAGAACACGCTCAACCCCGTGTGGCAGCCGTTCACCATCCCCGTGCGCGCCCTGTGCAACGGGGACTACGACAGGTCGGTCAGGGCCTGGCAGCACCTCGCGCCCCAGCAGCACGTGCTGCCTGCGGCTTGCCCCAGGCCCGGCGAGCACCCGCAGCAGTGCGGACGCGG